TTTAAAAAAAAAACAGTTTAACACGGGGATACATCCCCTTAAACAAAAAATGGCGCATTCAGCCAAGGGTAATCCCTTAGGCTTAGATGCAGTCATTACAAAACGCCCTAAAGTTACCACAATTCAAAAAAAAAGGAGACCAAACGAAGAAAAAGTTAATAAAGAGATGGAAGTAAGTATAGAGATGGAAAATGCGGAAACATCAGAGAATATAACGGACTCATATGAGACTAACAAAAAGAAGGAAAATGACATGGAGAATAACAATGGCGATGACAACGCGAAATCAAACAATAAGGAAAAGGGTATACAGGTATTTGAACCTCTTTTTTATCCACACAACCATTAAGGACCATATAATGTTTATATTGACAAAATGACAGAAAACGGCAACAACTTAAATAGACAAAACAGGAAAGCAATTAATGCATTAGAACTTAATGTAATTCTATTTAATCTAAAAATAAAAAATAAAATAAAATAAAAATAATATAATAAATAATCTAAAATAAAAGTGAATAAAATTGGCTACGGGCGCTGCAAAGCCGAATGCAGGTAAGCGAAAGCAGCTAATGATTTAATAAATTCAAATTTAAAGATAGACTCTGATCAAGAATATATATACTTTATAGGGTCGGAAACGCTTCCTTCTAGCTGTTACATACTTTTGCACGAATACAATATACCCTTTTACTCTACGAGTAACGGGTATAATAAATTAATAAATTCAAAATATTAAAACATTTTATTTGCAAAACCGGCATAATTTTTCAAATCCCCACAAAATTTTCCTTACCTGAATTAAAAGAATTCATTTCATCGCCAATTGCCATCATTGATATTATCCGAGTAAACAGGAAAAACGAAAATAAAGACATGGTACCTACTTCCAGGGTTAAAATAATCTTTGAGGGTGCACAAATTCCGGAGGAGGTCATCTTCCTATATACCAAAGTTAAGGTCGAACTGTTTGTTCCTTTTAGCAAATGCTTCAGGTGTTTTAGGTTAGGCCATTTTACCCAACACTGCAAACAAAGCCATGCAATTTGTCGAGACTGTTCCCTCTTGCATCCAAGAGAGGAGAAATGTCCAATTTTTAAGTGCGCTAATTGCAAACAGCCTCATTCTGCCACTGAGCTTGAATGCCCAGAAAGAAAGAGAGCTTTTGCCATACAAAAATGCATGACAGTCGAGAATCTTTTTAGAATTGAAGTAAAAACCAAATTCCCAGCTTTATTTGAGAAACAAACCCCTAACTCCTTTGAAATTTTTAATTCTTCCGATTTTCCTCTGCTACAGGCTCAAAAAAAATCAGCCATACCTGTAATGCAAAATAATGCTTCTGCAGAATGCATTCACAATTGCATTCCCTACAATAAAGTAGTAAAAATAAACCAAAACCGAATAAATGAGAATAAAAATGCACAAGTCACAATGGACAGCTATAGAACTGCACTCAAAGAGAACAGTTATTCTCTAAGCGAGATATTCATTCCTACTCATTCACAATCTTCCATTTTTGCATAGTCATCTCTTCCTGCAAATTTTTCACAGCAACAACAAACCTTTTCTCATACCCAACCTATTACTAATGCAAAGTCTTCAGCCTTAGAAACGGCGGAAAGCAGTTTAATTTCCATCTCCTCTCAAATTTCTTCGTTTTTATTATAAAATAATTCAGATATTCTAGCAGATGCTAGAACATTTTTAGAAGATATAAGAACATGTATTGCCAAAACTAATTCCCAAATTGATGTCCAAAAATTGCGTTCATGCGTTTAATTTACTTTTTTCTTTTTATTTTTAGAAGTTTTTTTATTTTTTTGTTTTAATTCATGAAAATCTTACAATATAACATACAAAGTCTGACAAGCAATAATAAAAAACAGCTTCTCGAATTTTTTTTATCTAATAACAACGTTGACATTGCTCTTTTGTCCGAAATCTGGGTCAAAAATAATTCAATTTTATATGTAAGCCCCGCAACGACGGTTATGGGGGTGTAGGAATTTATATTAAAAAGAAGAGAGAACGCTATAGTCAAGTGCCTCGACTATTAGATACCCGTTACTCAGCTAAACAACTTAATATAAATATGCCTTCTTGTATGTTTTTCGCCGCTCGAATTAGCACCTTGACCAGCTGTTCCAAAGTCATCCGTTAGATGGCGCTACCGTGGAACCACGGGCCAAACTTTTATTAGGCCAATCGATAGGTATTGACGAAACAAATACATATCAATTAAAATTCTCATAATAGCATCAAAACTGTGGCCACTGCTTGTGGCTTGTGGGCGTCAGACGGGGCGTGGCATCATTTTGAAACAAACTTGCGCTGCGAAGGAACTCCTAAAATCTACATGCAAAATGCCAATAGCTTTTATAGTTTCCGAGATCTCAGCGTTCATACGGACAGACAGACGGACATGGCTAGATCGACTCGGCTAGTGATCCTGAACAAGAATATATATACTTTATAGGGTCGGAAACGCTTCCTTCTACCTGTTACATACTTTTGCACGAATACAATATACCCTTTTACTCTACGAGTAACGGGTATAAAAATATTAAGTATAAAATCATTAACTGCAACACTGAAATTGAAATCATTGGAATCTCCACCACCAATTTAAAACACAATGTTAATGTTTTCAGTGTATATGCTCCTCCTAATACTAACATATATGATTTCGAGAAAGGCTGTATTGATGCTCTTATGACGGCAACGGCTCTTGGGGGTCTATCTATTGTAGGTGGTGACCTAAATGCTAAATCGTCAACTTGGGGAAACTCTACTCATGATAATAAAGTCCTCTTTTAGAACAAGTCCTCTTTTCTAAAGGTTTTTTTGCTTAAATGATGGCTCTCCCACTTACTCTCCTAATCCGTCATATTTCTCTACACTTGATTTAACATTTGTAAACAAAGATAATCTTTCCCTTAAATGGTCCACTTCAAATTCAAAAATTTCCAATAGCAATTACTTCCCAATAATATTAGAAATTACTAATATTACTACTACTACAAATAGCCATAAGCTGCTTCAATCTAACGTTTTGAACGATTTTTCAAAAATAAAAATCACTTCTCTTGACAATCTCACATATACAACAAACAACATTGTAAAAAGAAATACAGTTATAATAAATGAGAATAACAAATATATTCCAAAGAAATATTGGGATGAGACCTGTGAGAGACTTTTAAGACTAAGAAATGCTAGCAGACAAAAATATTACAAAACCAAACTGTTATCAGATGCAAAAATGTTCTTTGAAAATAACAAAAAACTTAATAACTATTTTTATAAGGTGAGAAAGGAGAATATGAATAAATAAGCAGACGATTTGACAAACCCAAAGTCAATTAAAGAAATGTGGCAAACTATTAAATCCTTGAAATCCTATAAACAAATTAAACCTACTAGCAGACAATTTAGCAATTCTGATCACATTGCTTTCCTTTATCAGATATCCTCAGTGCCAGACACTACAGAATGTATTCAAATGGATTTTCCCTCTTTCATTCAAACCATAAATAGAATGTATTTTTCTGCATCTGAACTGACTAAATTTTTAAAAACACATAACCCTAATTCTGCAAAAGGTCTAGACCACATTTCCTATAACATGCTTCTCTCCTTGCCACCTGACGAAATTCAAAATTTGGTTTCTATGATTAATGAAATTTTTAACGAGGGAACAGTACCAGATTCTTGGCGCAGAATAAAAGTCGTTCCAGTTCCAAAAAAAAACACTGATTCGTCTATAATAACAAATAACCGACCAATCTGTCTTTTAAGTATTGTGCTTAAATGTCTAGAAAGTCTTATTAAAGCCAACATGGAGTGGCACATGGATAGTTTTAATCTAATTCCAGATCGGTCTTACGCTTTTAGGAAAAACCACTGCACAGCTCACTGCATTAATAATGTAATTAATAATATAGCTAATCTGAAAGCTAAAGGTTTTCATGTAACAGCAGCAGTCTTAGATATAAGTAAAGCCTTTGACTCAGTCAATATTCCTATTTTAGCAAAAATTCTTATAGACAATGGTTTTAGCACTCTAGATATTAATTTTATAATAAATTTCATAAGTAAAAGAATTTTAAAAATGGGCAACACTGAAATTACTGTGAATAAGGGAGTTAGTCAAGGAAGCTGCCTCAGTCCAATGCTTTTCAATTTGTACACTGCTGATTTGCATAACATAAATGATCATCAAAGCACCTTATTTCAATACGCGGACGATTTCTTTCTCATTACTTTTGACAAAGATTTTACGACGGCAAGAAATGTTCTTGAACACAAAGTTAATGTTTTTAGAGAAATGTGCCATTCTATTAATTTAACATTTAACCCACTCAAATCGTCGGTAATGCATTTTAATAATAGGAAAAAATTATTAAACATTATATGCAATAATTTAGTTATTAACGATGTAGATCAAGTTATTTATCTAGGTAGGACCATTAGTACAAATAATTACGCTATAGGACACGTCAAACATATCTTAGCCAAAGCTAATAAATCCAATATGTTCCTAAATATGTTAAGTGGCTGTCGTTTTGGCATTCATCCTAGTAAGGCTCTTAATCTGTATAAGGCTTTTATTAGACCCAAATATGAATATGCCTGCTCTTCTTTCACTAACATTTCAAAAACAGTTAAAAACAGTATTAAGGTCCATGCAAATTTGTTCCTTAGGAAATCGCATGGACTTATTAAGTCTACTCCTATTAACATAATATATCATATAGCAGGTGAACTTCCTCCGGAACATAGATTCAAATTCACCACGGCGAAGGAGGTGGCCAAAATTTTTGCTCATGGTTTACCAGCAGCTTCTCTTTTGACCAACGATTTCGCAGCAAAAAAACACCAGCTACATAAAGGTTTACTCGGAATTCAAAGATATTTTTGATTCAATTGCTAATTTAAGCTGTACTTCTTTTAATTCTCGAAAAATATCGATGGATGTGGATTTTTTTAAGGGTATTATCCCAAACAAAAAATCATCCAATAACAAAAAAGGTTTTGAAATGTTATATACTGACGGCTCAGTTCAGGAAAATTTTATGGGGAGTGCTTTTATTCATTCCAAGTCAAATACTGTCAAAAGTTTTTATGCTAATTCTAAGCGTTCTTCGTTGACTGCTGAGCTCGCAGCCCTAGAGAAAGCCATCGACTTTGCAAATTTTGAAAATTTTAGCAAAGTAGCCATCCTTACTAGGTGCACTGCAAACGCTGAAGAAAAGCTGTGTTTCAAATAGCATAGCGTTAGATATTCTTAAAAAAATAGAAAACAGTCAAAGTATACTGTATTTTGAATTACACCACATACCCAGCCATCTTAATATCAAAGGAAACGAATTGGCAAATTCCGCAGCAAAAAATGCCAGAACTAACGGCTCATGTGTATTCCTGAGATACACTCTAAACGATGCCATCACACACTTATATAATCGGATAATGATTGATTGGGAAAGAGAATACAAAGCTTTCTGCCTTGAAAAAAACAAAGGATATTGCTTAATATTTCCCTATGTTGACACAAAGCCATGGTTCAAAGACAAAAACTGCAATTTAAATCGTCTCGAAGTCAAGCAACTAAACAGAATTTTTAGCGGTCATGCTTTCGACAGATACACGTTACACATATTAAAAGTTTTTGACAATTCCATTTGTGACTGCAACTAAAATTCCATTGAAGACATCTCTCACATTTTACTAAAATGCTCAAAATATGAATCTATCCGTAGAAATTTTCCACTCTTACAATACAACGATATATATCGATTCTTTGCTCACGAACCAATAACTAATTACACCTCTATAACACAATTCATACGCTCAGCTAAAATAGAATTATAATTAACACATCATCTCATAACATCATAACTCACATACAACTTCACATTTATAAATAATATCACTCACATATCGATAACACCCTCATCGAATCTCATCGCTTATCTTCAGAATCACACAACACGACATTTCATATTTATATTTATGAAGAACAATTTCTAACCAAGATCATGAAATCTTGTTTCACACATAGGTGGTGGCGTTTACCCGTTTTATTTCATACGGGACGGCCAAATAAATCTGCCTTAACCTTGGTTGGTCAGGAAGTAACTTAATACACAAAAAAAAAAAAATCGGGAACAAAGATGACGGAAAAGTGGCACTAGATGTGGCTCCCACAGCGCACCCACCTATCCTGTGGTGCCCCTAGTGACGCGAGGGAAGCACCACCCATCCTTAAGGGCCGTAATCACCGCCAGGCGGTGTACGACCGGTCTATCTCCCCCAACAGGTAAATAACTTACACCATCATTTTCATTTGCCTTTTAAGATTTAATATTTACAACGTATGTATTTGCATTGCAGGTAAGAATATTGATGTTTCTTCACATACGAGACCCTAAACGCACCAGCGTGTGGGAAATTAGTTAAGGGATCACAGCACCAGCGCCTCTCAGGTCCGGAATCTGGCTACAGTCGCCGCGGAAACAAAACTTCGCGCAGGCTAGTTTTTGGTCTACTGCACCATTTGGACCACCTAATCCTGGGGAGCTCCGAGGGATGAGAAAGGACGTGCGTAAATATATATATATAAAGATAGTGCCTAATGACTTAAGAGTTTCCCTCACTTCTAGGGATGCCCCCGACCAAATTGCTGTACTTGACGAGGGGCGAGAAAGGACGGACGCAGGCAAATCCGCATCAATTGACAAATTACAAATTAAATTTCCTAAATGACTAATTGTGTTTTTTTGCAGGTGCCAAGGCGTTGTTGTCGGCGCAGTTTTTTATGACCCCGGTGGCGGTCGCTGGCGCAGGGACTGAGGCCAAACGTGAATCGTGGCCCGCCGCTGGACTTTCACCGGCCAGGACAGGCGGCAAAGTGCGCCTCGCTGGACTTCAGCCAGGACCAAAAACTTGCAGGGAGATATCTACTGCGGACGGGCACGTGGGCGCGCGAAGCAGAGCCTCGTCACCCACTCGGATCGGAACGGACCCACTGGCGTGATCCTGAGGCGTCAGGATTGCGGACCGGTTCACTGGTCTCTGTCGCTATGGAGGTATGTAGCTCCGTTTGGATGATCTTCCTCGATGAGTTGCCGGTCAGGTTAAGGCCGAGGTATTCGAGAAAAAAAGGTTGTCGTCTCCGCCGAAAAAATTACAGGGGCCCTTTTGATGGGTCCCCGGATAGCCTAAGAACACAGCACTAAATAAAGCAACTAATACGAGGACGGAAGCTAGCTTCGGCAAGCCAAAGTTTTAATACCCTTGCAGTCTTTGCCGAAATTGTTAAAATTGGAAAAGTAGCGAAAAGAATAAGGTATACATAAATAATAAATAAAGTTGATTTGCATAGTTTCATGTTAATAGCTTTTATACTGCAAAAACGTCATATAAAAATAGAAAAAAAGGGATATTTTCGCCGCATTTACAATTTTTACTACGGAAGCTATAAGATATAGACGTCCGATCCGAGTGCTTTTACCATGATCAAGGTATGCGTAAATAAATAAGACTTACTAAATTTATGTCAATAGCTTATACACTGCGCGAAATATTTAAAAAAACATCAAATTTTGACCGATTTCACCGTATTGTTCCTAGGGGAGCTATAAAATATAGACGTCCGATCAGAACGCGTTTTTACCTTGATGAAAAAATGCTTAAAAAAATACGATTTGAAAAAAAATTATAGCAATAGCTTTTACACTGCGCGAAATATTCTGAAAAACATCAAATTGGGACCGTTTTTACCCTATTGTTCCTATGGGAGCTATAGGATATAGACGTCCGATCGGCACGCGCTTTTACCTTGATGAAGGAATGCATAAAAAATACGATTTGAATAATTTTATGGCAATAGCTTTTACACTGCTCGAAATAATCTGAAAAACATCAAATTTTGACAGATTTTACACTATTGTTCCTATGGGAGCTATAGGATATAGACGTCCGATCGGCACGCGCTTTTACCCTGATCAATATATGCATAAAAAATACGATTTGGAAAGATTCGTTGCCAATAGCTTTTACACTGTGCGAAATATCATCAATTCTTGCAAGATATATCCGATTGTTCCTATGGGAGCTATAGGATATATACGTCCGATCGGGGCGATTGATCTGCGTACACATGTTTTAGGACGAGTGTGAAAGTTTGTGAGCTCGCAAACGGTATTGAAACTGGCGGACAGACGGACATGGCTAATTCGATTTATCCTGATCAAGAATATATATACTTTGTTTAGGCCAGTGGCCCACTGCATCGGGGCTGTTCACTGAGCTCTCCGAGCCTTCGCTCTCGCCCCTCTTGCGCTCCCTCGCTCGCTTCTCGCAACGTCCGGGCTCCAGAGTGCGAGCTTCGGGTTTCTCATCCGAACTCCTCGGACGGCCGCTGCCGATCTCCCGCTCTCGCAGAGTAAAGCAGGCGGGAGCGGGGTTTTAGTTTTAATTAGTCTCATGTATGCAGCTGAATAAAGCACACTGAATAATACCACGACGCCCCCGACTTCTTAATTTTTTCGTCTTCCTTTGCGTTTGCGCCGTGGGAATTATTTCTGCCAACCAACTCTTTTTTGTGGAAGGATCTATTCGAGCCGGATAAGGATATCCTTATAAGATAAGTACGAGCATTTTCCGACTCCCTCTCGCTGCCGGTCCTTAGCAGTGGTTCGAACATTGAATTTCGTTCACACTGCAGTAAGATCAATTTTTTTCGTGTCAACTCCACGTCCGAGTTTTCCCGACACAACGGCAGTCGAGAAATTTTACATTCCTTTAATTCCAAAAAATTTTCTATCCGTCTCCGCTTTGTGTGCGTCGCCATACTCCTTGCCGTTTGCACTTGCAGTGCAATTCTGCCTCCAAAAAAAATATACGACAAAAAGTGAAATTGTGTGGTGGAAAATAAAAAGGCATAACTAATATCAGCCACTCGGTGTGAAGTAATTTCGGGAGTTTCCCTGTTCGCCGTACAATCCGCCGCTGTCGAGATATTTTTTTTGTCTTGTTTTTTTCTCCACATAATTTCATCTGTTCCGTCACTTCAAATACAGTCCACTCTTCGACGCTCTACTGTACCGATATACACTTACACATAAACGCATGCATGCCCATATCAACATAGAACTATTTTCTGCCTCCACATACGGGAACATACCCATATCCATAAACATATGCATGCCCATATCTACATAAATATATTTTCTGCCTCCACATACAGGAACATAAAATAAAAAAATTCAAATCCACACGGGTGCGACCGTGATTGTTTTTTCTCCAATTTGCCGCAATTAACCGCCCCAACAGCTGTGTTATTATTGTTGCTGATTTTTTCCCTTCTCTCTCTCTCCCGCGTCCCTCACGCATGCACTGCGCTGCCGACGGCATAACCCACTGAACATTTCTCCCGAACCAAAGCCAAGGTTTTTAATTCCACCGTTCCGGCGCCGCTCAAAAATAAGTATTTATAATTATAATTATTATTTAATTATAAAAATTATTAATTCAGAATTATAATTACTATTTAATTATAAATATTATTTAATTATTTCCGGCAAAGTAATTTATTTATTTAATGGATTAATTAATTTATATTTATTACGTTTTTCCGATTTTTTTTTTTGCGATCAAAGATATTTTCCAAACCAAAAAAAAAAAAATAAATAAATAACTAAATACAATAAAATTATTTGGCAACTAGATATACAAATATATAAACAATCAATACAGTTTCATCGATTTCCAAATATTTTCTTCCGATTCTTCTCGTTCTTTATGGCACTGTGCTTTCTACTCCGCACAAATTAACAGTGTGACCGTACTCTGTGGCTTTCTTTTCTTTTGCGTGCGTTCATTCGCAGCGACGACCAACTCGTTGGCGACTCAGATCGCGCCGAGAGCTTAACGGTGAATATCCTTACGTTCTGAACGAAACGCCCCTTGCTCAGGTCAGTCGACAAGAGCTGATCCGCAAAGTTCGAGTCCGAGAATGCCCACGGGAGAGGACAAGAAACCGAGGTTGATCCCATCTATCCGTTTGGACAGGTCCCAATTCGCGTCTCCGCGGCCGTCTCAATTAACACCAAAGGCTCCCATTGCCATTCCAAGGGCAAAAAGCGACGAGTCCGTCGAGACTATCTCCGGTCCCCCGTCAAGGCTTTCTCGGTCGGTGTCCAAGATGGCTCAAACTGCGATAGACATCGCCCTCAAAAAGTTTATTGCCACAACAGACCGGGTTAGCCAATTTCAAGCGGATATTCATACTCCGAGCGCCGCTGAACCAGAACGACTTCCACCTGGCATGTGCCAAGTCCATCGGGACCAAATCCGGGCCTTGTGGGAAAAGGTGGAGAAGAGCTATGAAAGTTGCTCCGATCTTCTTTCCGCGTCCACCGACAGTACGGCCACCTCGACAGTGCTTGAATCCAAGTACAGTTACTGCTACTCCGTATATTCGAGATGTTTGGTCCAGCTTCAGGACATAATAGACAAGGCCGCCTCCCAGTCCATTCAGGCTGCTGTCAGTGTTCCAACACCGCCGTCTACATGCTGTCGTTTGCCACCAGTCGACATCGAAGTTTTCGATGGTGATTACCTGCGTTGGCCCACCTTCAGAGATCTTTTTACCGCGATATACATCCACAACTCGCGTCTTACACCGGTAGGGAAGTTGTTCCACCTACTGTCCAAAACAAGTGGCGATGCGCACGCCATTGTTTCTAAAGCCCCGCCGACCAACGAAGGGTTTATCTCCGCGTGGCGAACCCTCACCGACCGCTTCGAAAATCGGCGGTTATTAGTCAATAGCCAGTTGAAAATCCTCTTCAACATTCAGGCAGTACCCCAAGAGTCCGAAGCCGCTCTGAAAGAGCTGCAAGGCACAATCCAAAGTTGCCTGACAGCCTTAGAGATGTCCTCTATTCAAGTCGAGACTTGGGATTGTCTCCTGGTGTACATGGTTTCTTTAAAGCTTCCCAAAATCACGCTTTCGTTGTGGGAGCAATCCATTCACAACAAGGCTGAGATTCCAACATGGAATGAGTTAGACTCGTTCTTGACAGAGCGTCATCGCACTCTGGAGGCTATCGATGACATCAGGCCTAGCAGTTCGGGTCAGTTTCCGCCAAGGTCGACACCTGCGAGCGCCCCAGCGCGTAGGCTTAATTCCTACGAGGCCAGAGTGACTCCAGCTCCAAGAGGGTGCGATCTCTGCTCCAGAGAGAATCATCCTGTTCGCTTATGCCCGCGCTTCCTTGAGATGGATGTAAATGATCGCTCCGACTACATTAAGAAAAAGCAGCTTTGCCTGAACTGTTTTGCACGAGGGCACCTGCAACGGGATTGCACTAGCGCCCATAGCTTCACTTGCCACAGCCGTCATCACACCCTCCTGCACCGCGGTAATCCATTCGCGGCCGCTCCAAGTCCGTCTGCGCCATCCAGGTCTCGACCCGCTCCTACTACAAGAGGCACGAGCCTCTCGATCGCCTTCCAGACCCGGGCTGCATTTAGAAACTTCAGCTTATGTTCTTCCGCAGCTGGCCGGGAATCTGCCTTCGTATCCAGTCCCTCGAGATCTCCTTAAGGGAATTCCTGACATCCCCCTTGCGGATCCCAATTTCTTCGAGAGCGCCCAAATCGATGTCTTGATAGGAGCCGACATTCTTCCGTCAATCCGTCAAATTTGGGTAGACCCCCAGCATACTCCCTTGCAGCGTATTCTATTCCGCAATTCCGATGGGGAAATCCGCGACTACGAGTTGAAGACAGTCACCTTCGGGGTTAATTGTGCCCCGTTCCTAGCGATACGTGTCCTGCAACAGCTCGCCGACGACGAAGAGTCGAGGTATCCGCAGGCGAGTCGGATTATCCGACAGTACATGTACGTCGACGACGTACTCGCGGGGGCAGACTCCAAAACCGAAGAGCAAGCGGCTATCCGCGAGCTCCAGGGGGCCCTGGATTCAGCAGGATTCCCCCTTAGAAAATGGACATCCAATAGCAAGGCGATTTTGGCCAACATCCAGAGTGAACATCTCCTTCGCGCGGACTTCCTTGAAATCGACGCAGAGAGCACGGCTAAAACTCTCGGAGTGCGGTGGAAGGCGACGTCTGACGAGTTTTTCTTCATTCCGCCCGAACTCACCCTGGGTTCAACGTTCACAAAGCGTCAAGTACTATCCCAAATCGTCAAACTATTTGGTCCACCGGGTTGGCTCGCCTTCATAGTCCGGG